TGTCCTCTGAGCAATGCAAGTCAGTTGTTACATGCTCCTCCCATCTCTGTCAAAATCAAGGAAGCACAGAGAGATTAACTTGATTTATAATCAATAATAATAATAATAATAAAATGTATTTCTATCCCGCCCTTCTACCGAAGCAATCGGGGCGGCTTACAACAATAAAAACTCACAAGAAAGCATCTCTTGGGAATCATGGCTCAGAGTAGATCTGGTAAGACTCCTTGATTTTACAAAGCCATCTTTGTGAGTCTTGCTACTAATTCCAGCAACATTTCATTCCTATTTCTGGCTACAGTCCCACTGGTGCTTTTTTGTCTTTTGAGCCTTTTGGCCTTGTCTCACTGCATCTCTGCCCCATCTTGTCCTGTGGTCAGCTTGATTATAAGTGAATTTGGTAATACAAGACCACTAGGGTTAATTGCAGACACACTTCCTCTGTCCTGACTGCATAGATCCTGAAAACAAATCATGTCATACAGAAGCTACATGTGGTTGTAATCATTTTTGATGTACCTATATAGATGTGAAAAAGTCCACTGCTAAGTGACTATGTGAATAAAAATCAGCATTCACCATGTTCTGGGTCAAAACAACTTATTACCCACTCCCATGATCTCCCTATGAACGAGAATCAGTAAATGGCTTCACCTTTTATGTTGTAGCCTGAGTATGTTGGTGTTTTGTTTGCTGTAAGAACATGTGAAATGTAAATGGAAGATATCTTGCCCATAGACTCAGGGACATGCTATTAATGTGAATGGGTGTGCCATGACTAACTGTGGCTTAATGGTATTTATTCACTGTGTATTTCAAGTTGTGTGCTTTCCCTTAATATTTGTCTCCCATATAAACATGGGTGTAACACAGGCATATCTGGCTGCCATAAATGATGCATTAGAGAATATGTGGCTAACCTTTATAAAAGATGTGTCTGGAAAACAACAGTTAAATTATGCAGGGAAAAAGTTTACCTCTTTGCTTCTGGAGTCATTTACTAACTTCTTCTTGGTTTAATTGTTTTGTATAAAATGGTCTGATGTACTTGTGTTTTGTGATTAGGCCACTATGTGTCTAAAGTGACTGGAAATATTGATGTTCAAAAACCTCTGTCTCTGTATAGGCAGAGAATTGTCTGGTTTCCTATTCTGCCTGAGGAAGAGTTCTGTGAACTCATTGTCTTCAATATTCTTTAACTCAGAGAAACTGATCTAATAAAAGATACCACTTTATTTTTTCTGATTTGCAATCTATAGTGTACTACAATAATTTTTAGGGGCAGTAGTGGCAAAGCCACAGACAGGGCACACAGATATTTTCTGTCTGCCATGGTAATTTATCAAATACTAAAAAGGGAACTGGAGAGCAAAAGGCCCTAAGAAAGGAGGGCTTGAAAAGACTATGAAAGGACCAAATGAGCATTAAATAACAGAAGCAGCAAAAGGGGATTGGGATGTAAAGTAGAGGTAGGAAGGAGACTAGAAAAGGGTTGTTCAGTTAATCATTCATAAGCAAAAGAAACTAATTCAATTAATTTCACTGAAAGAAAGACATTTAGCTACTAAGTTTATGTTACATTTTCATTTAAATTTAATAAATCTTGGCACTAAAAGACTTGCCTTAATTAATCCAAAGAATCTCACCCATAATTTTACTCCCACACCTCATCTCACCCTGCTTCTTTTATGAACTTTTATTTGTACCCAATTGGTTGACAGAGGGGTGGGGTACAAATTATTATTATTATTATTATTATTATTATTATTATTATTATTATTATTATTATTATCTTGGAAGAAAACTATGCAGACACATACTTTTTAAAAACTCAGTTTCTCAGCCATCTCACCCAAAAGCCTTCTTTGACTTTCCATTTTCCCCTGCCTTGTGATCTCATTTTAATCTGCCATCTTTAATTTACTGTTCCCTGCATGGATCCCAGCAAAAGTTCCATGGTTAAGAGCTTCAAAGCTCAGTTACCTGGAACAGATAGGAGCCTCTATGCCAGGTGTCAGCAACCTATGGCTCGCGGGCCGCCGCTGCCACCACTCAGCATGTGCTGGCATGCTGCGCATGAGCGTGGGTGCCATTTTGGCATCTAAAATGGTGGCCGTGCTTGCGTGCACATGTACACACTAACAGGTGCCATTTTGGAAGGCCCTACAGCAGCTTTCCAAGGCCCAGGGAAGCCCCCACCATACCTGTGCTGTGCAAATTCGCACAGCACAGGCGCGGTGGGATCTTCCAGAAGAGGGTCCTGGCTGACCGGTCAGCGCTCTTCTGAAGGCTGCTTCATTCGCCTTCCTGGCTGTC